TTTTGAAGCTCCATACAAGAAATAAAAATGTTTTAAAATAATAAAATTTATTTTTTTACATATTTTTAGTTGAATAATTGTAAAATAAGACTTGTTATTGATACAAATTTGAATGGAAAATTTTATTATCTTATCAAATACAATATAAAATTATTTTTCAATATCAATTTATTCAAATAAATCTATTAATTTAATTTTTAACACTGATTTTATAAATCAAAGCAATAAAAAAAGCAATACTCCACCTTTTCATTTGACGAATATTGTAATGGCCCTAATTTTCAATTTATTATGAAAATATGCAAATTTAATAGGTCCAAGGGCGTCAGTGAACAAATTAAAGGTTTTGGGGTGTTTCTGCGAAATTTGGAAAATATCAAGGCTAATCTCAGAAATTCTGGGGCTAAATTGAGAGAATTGAAAGATGAAGGACCTGGGTGTGAGAGGGGTTAAATCTGGGGACAAGTTTAGAAGTGGGAGGGGGGACTAATTGTAATTTTGCATAAAATCTAGCATGAACAGTGACCGACCGGTGGTTCTTGCCCTTTTGACCACGTGTGTAATGATTTTTCGGTGGATTTTTCACATCTTTGCATGCATCTTTAGGAAACTAATCGAAACCCTCAATTAATTTGGGGTTTTAGAGAGAGAAATGAGAGGATTTGGAGATTTCTTGGCCGGCAGAGTTGACAGGCGATCGACTGGCTTTTTCATGGGCTTTTGGGCTTTTGGGATGGCTTTTGATCCTATTAAACAGTCTAGTGTGGTCTGTCGGAGTGAGAGCTACGAGCCTTGGCCTTGATCAATCGACATAAGTTTGATTTTCTGGCTGATCTTCGAGTTTCAGTCTTCTGGGTTGCATTGCGGACTCGTATGCAGGTTCCGGGTTAGGAACCGGGTAGAGACGATAGACTCAGATGGGACTGGGTCTGTGCAAGTTGGGCTGGCCCTGTTTAGGCCCAAATCCAACGGGACTAGGCCGTGACCTGCAGGCTGGGCCGCTATGTTGGTTTGGGCTGAGTCAACTCGTGGGTTAACTCAACCCACTATGTAATCAATTGGGTTGACCAATGAGTCAACCTAATGGTCAAATAGGGATATGTTATCCCAAGAATAAAGCAAAACCAAGGATAAGGACTATCTAAGGATAGTAAGAATTAGATATTTCGGGATTTATTATTTAAATAATGGGATTAGAGTTTTAGGTTGATTGAACAGGCCGTAAGTGGTTCAATGTTGGACCGGCCGGTTCAAGACTTTTAGACTGGTCCTCTTGGTGATTGGTCCGGTTCCTGGTCCAAGGGGATGAAGGCTAGCAAACCAAGTGGGTTTGGGAATTTTTGGGTGGCTGATTCAAAGTGAACCAGCCAGTTTAGTGAAATATTTGTCGGACGACCGGTTTAGTAGTTTTTAAGTTGGTTCTTGGGGAGATTGAGCCGGTTCCTGGTTCAACATGAGGAAACCTAGGTAACCATGAAGTTTGGTGATTTTTGGGGTGGTTGATTTAGGGTGAATCGGGCTCGGTTTGTGTGCTAGTGCTTAGGATTAACGTTTTTGGTCCGGTTCAGAGCCAGTTCAAGGGTTTTCTGGTTGGTTCAAATCGGTTCCTAGGGTTTTTGGCCCTTCTGAATCCGATTTTAAGATTTTCGTTGCCGGTTTAGTTCAATGGAGGTAGTTTTAGATTAGGTTAGGTCGGTTTGAGGGTTTTGAAAGCCGGTTCATTGTGGTTTGAAGGCTTGAGGCTGGATCGTTGTGATTCAAGGTTTATTAAGTTAGTTTAATGAGTGTCCGTGAGTCGTGTGGGTCCTTGTGATGGGGTAGTGGTGCCTAAAGATGCATGCCATAGTGTCAAGATGGGAGTGGGGCCGATTTTGGGCTATAGAGCTAGTTTCTTGTGCTGGTTTTGGTGATGGTGACGGTTTTGTGTATTTCTTTTTATTACAGATAGACCGATGGAGGCACGTCCAGACTAGCGAGTCGAGTGAGGATGATCGGGAGTTCCTTTTTGTTTAGCTCTTGTATAGTGAGTGATGATACCCTCTCTATACCTATATTTTCATACTGTGACTTTCTGACATGATGATTATGTGACTTAAAAACTGTATTTTGATTATATGATATGCTCAGGATATGTGTTATATGTTTTGTGAACTATTAGTGAATCATGTTGGTATGTGATACTGATTTTTGATATGTAAACTATATATGAGAATGTATACATGTTTTTGACTTGTATGTAAGGATGGTGTCGTGTAATGTGATTTGGGAATGTCAGGAACTTGGCTAGAGTCGGCCTGGGTTGTGTGAGGTGATTATGATGCCAGGAACCCGGCTGGAGTACGGTGATCTGTAGCATTAATGGTGAGTAGGCCTAGATCTAGTTATATTGATTTGATGTTTGGTTGACGTACCTTTAAGCGGATGTTTGATATATTTTACTGATCACTGTATATGTATGTATGGTTTTAGACTTGTTGTGTGATGCACATTCCAACATGTATAAATTAGGTATCATCTATACTCGTTGAGTTTTGCAACTCACTTTTTATAAACTTTCTAGATATGGGTTGCTATTCTCGGGTAGTGTGCCGGAGTTAAAGTGGTTGTATGCAGACTTGATGTATGGAAATGATCTCTTGTTTTTCCCTTGTTTATACTCTAATGCTCCCCTTATTACTCAAACAAGATCCTAAATTGTATTTGCACGGTTTGAGATTGTATACATGTTTTAAATTGTTTTGAGTATATTGTTATGGCTGTGAGGCTGACTAGGGTCGGGGACTTTAGTGCCGATCACGGGCTTGGGTTTGGAGCTGTGACAAATATATTCTTGTACAATGCATAACTTATATTGCTACTATAATATGTAAAGAAAAAATTAATTTTTAAAACTTTAGAAAAGCTATGGTGTCCAAATATTATGGTTTAAATGAACATTATACAATTATGATGTTAGTAAAAGTCAATATTAAGAGGTGCCTTCATAAGGTTTTGTTTGGATGGAGCGGTGAAAAATAAAAAGAAATAATTCGTTAAGTTAGTCAAAAAAAAGGAAAAAAAAAATATCCGATTTTTTCACGATTTTCTTTGAACATAAATATTAGAAAATATAAGAAATGCAAATCTATTTTACTAAATTATCCACTTCCTTAATTTTCATTTTTTTATCTTAGAAGGATAATTTTGACACTTTGAGAAATTTTAAATATTTAATTATTATTAACCTCCAAATATAGTATATATTATTTATTCCTTTTAGGATAAATTGCACATCATCCCCCACAAATTTAAATTTTAGCACAATGCATAAAAGAGACATTTCCGATTATAAATATTAAATTTATAATACTTACTCTTTAATTAATATTTAAGTAAAATATTTATACTTTTAAAGAATATAAATATCATTTAAGGTATAAATGTTGGTTAATTTTCTCTCGTTTTAATATTTACAGTCATTATTTGTATTAAAAAATATATTTATACATTTTAAAAGTAAAAGTTTTTATGAATATTTTAAAATAGTCTAAATTACAGAAGAATTAATAATTTATTTTACAATGTAAAATTTTATTTTTGTAATTAAAATTATATTTTTAAAAATTTAATATAAATTTGATGACTCTTTAATTATAGAAATAATATATTTTCATAAATTTTGAAAATGTATAAATTAAAAATTTACAAAAAAAGCTTTAAAAACATGCCATAAATAAAAATTATTTTAAAATATTCATTAAAAATATTACTTCTAAAAGACATATATATTTTTTAGTTTAAATAATGATTGTAAACGTTATAATGGGAGAAAATCAATTAAAATTTATACTTAAAATAATATTTATATTTTTTAAAAGTAAAATTTTTAATAAATATTTTATTTAAATATTAACTAAAATAATAAGTATTATAAATTTAATATTATAAAAAATATTTTTTAGATATTAAAAAAATATGTTATTTTAAAATTTAAATTTCTTAAAAATATATTATTATTTGTGTTACTTTCTATTTATTGTCATTTGTCATTTACAATTAACCCAACGTAAAATCTGCCGCTGGAGGAAAAGTTGTAACTTTTATCGGGTCGGTCGGGTATTATATCCGATCCGAGACTCACCCGCATATTTTCTACTGGCGAGCAAACCCTAGATCGGACGGTGGATAAGGCCCTATAAGATTCGCTCGAAACCCTTTATCACCCTTGTCCACCCCGCCTATTTCCTTTCTCTATCGTTAACCGCCTCCCTGGTACTTCAGCAGAACCCCTGAGCAAAAATGGTGAGTCTCTCTCCACCACACTAGATTCTGCTGCACATTACTCTGCATTATGTTACTCTCCAACTATTCATCTTGAAATCTGAATGGTTGCCTGATTTGTTCTTGCCGTGGGGCTTGATATTCTGCAGCCGTTCAAGCGCTACGTCGAGATCGGAAGGGTCGCCCTCGTGAACTATGGGAAGGACTATGGGAAGCTCGTTGTCATCGTCGACGTTATCGATCAGAACCGGGTAATGTTCATCTGTACTCTTTATCCACATCTGGTTTGCGAGTCAATCTGAAAAATGAAAGTTTTTTTTTCCTTTTTTTTCGTTAGGATAACATGTAAGGTTTTCCTTAAGCTCTTTAGTTCCAAAATAAATATCTGCGATAGTGTTCTGTCTCAATTTTTGAAAGGGAGGGCGTTCTTTGCCCTCATGTCTTCATTGAACCGTTTTATGGTTAGAACTAGCAGTTTTATGTCTTGCCGATCAACATTGCATAGCAATGAGCAGAGATGGAAGTTTTGTTTTCTGCTGGTGTTGGTTACATGGGTTGAAAATTTCTGAATCTTTATAGTTTCCCAAACGGTTTGATCCAAATATTTTCTCTACGCCGCTGGGGTGTATGTTCTTCTATATCTTGTTTATGGATATCGTAAATTGCCTGGATGAGTTAAATTAACAAAATGCTGTAAATTATTGTTCATAATATTTATTTTTGCAATTCTATTGCGAAAAGTGTATGGTGTCTACATTGGTAAAGAAGCATAATGGTTTAAGTCTAAGTTTGTTTACGGAATTTTGGTTGTGGATATAATTATTGATCCTTAAAGTTGTGATGTTCTGTATTCCCACGATTTTTTGTTGTTGGATTTCATGCTACTTTTCTGGATGTCTAGATTACTGTTCAGCCTCAAAGAAAATTTCTCCTTTTTTTGCATCAGAATTTCATTTTTCTGTCTCCAGTTGGTGAATGTTTAATCTGAGCTATTTGTTTTCCCTTGTAATTTGAAAAATACACAGATTTACTTTTTGGTTTATTTTATACCTTCTCTTGCATATTATCTCCTGGGTAAGGCTTAATGGATAGTCTTTGGTTTTCATAATTGGAAGCCTTTGATAACTTTCAAAATTGAATTGCACTGCACTTTTGGACGGGACTTTTGAGAAGGCCATCTTATGTGGCTTGGGATTCGATATGGTGGAAAAATTGTTTTATGGTGTAATTTGTTTGTTTAGGTGTAGAATAAAGCGTTATAAATTGAGAGCAACTTTGACCACACTCTATTCAATGGCCATATCCAGATCATTTTAGAGATTTATGTTTGGCCATCCAACTGGATTTGTGGAGTTACTCCCACATTCCCGATCCCTGTTGGTGTTGAGAGTGTTGATACTTTTCTTAAGTGTCTCTGGCAATGCCGTCCATGCCATGACCAAGTGCTTCTTCTTGGAGAGCATTCATATCTTTCCAAGTCAAGGACTCCCATTTGTGTAAATTAATATGCCTTAAAATTGATGTCCAAATTCTCCATTAAAGCACCTTTCCTTCTTGCTCAAACTCATCGTGTCAAGATTTTCTAATACCTAGCTGTATGAAGCATCTCCACCATTTTATTAGTCATTTTAGGATGCCTCCTTTGGATCACTTCTTGGTCAAGGATGCCCTAGTGGCATGTGGGTGACCCCCAGGGATCACAAGTATCAAGTGGTCAAAGGCTCGAGTTAAATAGCTATTGTCTTTCCTGCTTTAGGGGTACAATAACTTAACCAATCAGATTGGCCATTTTCAAGATGTCCATTGGCAGTTGGTGCATCACTTTTAGCGCATCTGCATGCACCTGTCTTCACCTATGTTACTGATGTGCTCCCCAATCACTCAATTGGATAGAGTTGGCTCTACTTGAGAGCCTCCTATAAGTGCTGTCTACCTATAAATCAGGCCTCTGCCATCATTTCCCCCAGATACTTCAACTAACAAACTAATCTATTAGTGTCTCTTTCTGTTCAAGACTGATGCTTTTGGCAGTGATGCAGTACCCTCATAATTTTGTTTTTATAAACCTGTTATTTTGATTCCTGGATACGTTCCTTATTTAGCTTCTTGGGATCTTAGATTATTTTTACCTCTTTTTAATCTTGGAACTCTTGTTCTTCTGTTGCTAAAGGTTGATAGTGCATTGTGCTTACAAATATTTTTTGAACTGTCCACTCAGGCTCTTGTGGATGCCCCTGACATGGTGAGGTGCCAGATGAACTTTAAGAGACTCTCTCTCACAGACATCACTATTGACATCAAGAGAATCCCAAAGAAGAAGACACTGATTGCTGCAATGGAGGCTGCAGGTAAGACCTGCTGCAAGTAAATATTGGAGTTATTGTCATTCAGATTTTTAACTGTGATTTTTTTATTTTCCAGATGTCAAGAACAAGTGGGAGAATAGCTCCTGGGGCAGAAAATTGATTGTGCAAAAAAGAAGGGCTTCTCTCAACGATTTTGACAGGTTCAAGCTCATGTTGGCAAAAATCAAGGTGGGTTTTATTTGATGTGGCCTCCTAATATTATTTCTAGATGTCATATTTGTCAGTCTTTTGTCCTTGCATTATTTTTTTGGCTATATTTAAGCAAGTAAATATGACTTAATAAACTTCTATATGCAGAGGGCTGGACTGGTAAGACAGGAGCTTTCAAAGTTGAAAAAGCAGAATGCCTAAGGAACGTTATGTTACTAGGGATCTCAATTTTGCTATGAACGATCTTAAGTTTGTATTGTTGGGAAATTTGAATTTGTTGCTTGTTGGATCCAAGCTTAAAGTTGGTCTTAAAAGAGAACTGTTGTTTTTCCGTTTTCAATTCTTGTGTCCTATTTTTATGATGACCCTAAATCAGCTTATGAGTTCAATTGGAAATTTTCCCAGATTATTTGGTTGCTTCTGGGAATTTCTGCTTAACAGGCAGTGTCTTTAGTCCAAATACTATTGAATGAAATTGCTACCAGTTGCATGTTCCTTACCAAGGTCCTTTTGTTTGGATATCCATCGTGATATTGATGTTGAGGTGCATTGCATAACAAAATGAACTGAGCAAAATGCATCAACTGTATGGATATCTGGGACTTTTTGGGATTTTTGATTGGGCATGTGTGACTTGGAAACTTGGTTTTAAGGGCTCGATTGTTTAGGCATATGTGTGACTTTGGAACGCAAGAAGGAAAAGTTGAGCTGCCATGCATCACCCTCCCTTTAATGAAAGTTGAATAATCATTAAAGGAGACCAGCTTAAACCGAATCTTGCTTTGAAGTTCGCGGACGTGTTGGAAGGAATAAAAGCGAGTGATGTGAAATCAACAAGCTATTTTCACTTCTGCAGCGTTTATTTTTTGGAGTTCTCTGACGCTAGTTTGTGGAGGAACAGATAATACAACTGATGATAAGCACCCAACGATATTTTCGCTTCTGCAACATGGAGCCCAGACATGAGGAAATTTTGACTAGATTGGAAAGGACTTTTATTCCATGTGGAAGAAATTAAAGAACTTGTTGGTCCTACATTTTCTGTTTCGACATAAATAAATTAGTATTTTCAGTTCTTATCATATGGAAGACAATGGCAGATTAATCTCTTTAACACTTCGGTAATTCTTCCAGCTCCGGAAGTAGACTGGTATAAGATTATCTGTTTTATATAAAAGGTCCCTTTTCACCCATTAGAAGTGTCTTGTAATCTGTATGTAAAACGAAAGTTTGCAAATTGATGAAAATATTCTGATCTCCAGTTCTCTCCTTCTGGGTTAAACATTGCAAAGACTGCCTTTTTTCAATATGTAGCATTTGAAATTTCAACTTCAATTTCAATTTCAATTTAATTTGACAACATGGCAAGGCAAGATATGAGCTACCTGCACAAAATACGGCAGCTTTTTAAATCTTTTCTTTTAAACAGCTTTCGGCACTAGTGTGGCATGGACTGAATTGAAATCACTTCAGTCCACAAAGGATTGAGTACGTCTCTGTGTTTAGATCCAAATAAAGGTCTAGCTGAGAAGCTTGGAAGAACTAAATTTATTATATGGACACATTTGATTTCTCAAAAAGATTCTTAGGATCAGGGATGAATGAAAATAAGCCAGGTCAAACCTACTCCATAAATTATAAGTTTAAGTTTGGCCTGTGGCCTATGACAAACCAGTAAATTAGATTTTGACTAATTTGTTAACCAAATTAGTAAGATCTAGACTGATTTATTAACCTATTAGGCCAAAATAAGTTTTCAAAAAGCCAACAAGTTAAAAATCTGCTAAATCGTTATACAAATCTCATCTAATATGAGTTTACAAAATTCATCTTTCGTCGTGTTTCACAACAAAATATGTATGTATAGGCCAAGTTGCGAGCTTAACAGATCAGACTAAAATTTAACAAATCAAATCTATTTAATAAAAAAGCCATATTGTTGGCCTAAGCTCTATTTAATTAATTAAACAAACTAAATCTAATCAGAGTAGGTCATAGGCAACTTATGAGTAATTTGACTTATTTTCTACCCCTGCATGTATTAATTAAACAAACTAAATCTAATCAGAGTAGGTCATAGGCAAGTTATGAGTAATTTGACTTATTTCTACCCCTCCATGTAAATCAGCAAATTGTCCAATCTTAATATTTTCCCGACATTTGATTACAATAGCAATTTATTGAGTGACTATTAGTTCAATGTTTGGGTGCACAATGGCTGCGGGGATGGAAATAAAAATGGAAGTATTAGTCCCCCTTATATTATTGGATTAGATAGTCTCATCTTATTGGATAATCACTAGTACTTGATAGAATTCTCCCTTTCTTTAGAATTCAACCTCTTTTAAGACCAGTGAAAAAGTAACGTAAACATTGAGTTCTGTAACATGAAACAAAGCAAAAGAGAAAACTAACTCATTTAGGAAATGTATAGTTCCATAAAAGTTTATTAGAAGAACGGAAATTTATGTTCTAAAAACTTACATTTGGTGTGTACTTTAAAATAAAAATTTTCATTTTCTAAAAAATCAGTATTCTATAAAAAAAATTCGTATTCTATCACTGGAATAATAAAATCTAGATTCCATTATATCATTTGATTGTATAATTAAAGTATTGCCCTTTACATAACATAATGATAAAATAAGAATTTTTATTCTATTAATATACCAAACATGTTCATAAAAATGTTTATTTAATTTTATTATCATTTCTATTCTATCAAAATTTATTATATCGTATACCATATGTCACCTTAATAATTTCAAAACTCATTGATTAACTATAAAAATTTAATAAATCTTTTTCCATGTTTTGTTTTACATTCATAAAGTCATGGCAATTTGCGTGCTCATAGTTATAAAATTAGTTACTTGTAATTATGTTTTTATATTAAAAATTCAAAACTTAAGTGTAAAATATATTCTCCCTCTCTAGATTTATTTAAATAATATGTAATCTCATTCTCTTTAAGAAAAAATATTTTTCTTATTTGACTAACTATTGATTCACAGTTGTTTTAATACTTTTATTAAAAAAAATTTGAGAATAACTTAATTTCACGTACTTTTACTTATCTATTTAATAAAAAATTAAAATATTATTTGATTCACTTAAATTTTTTTTAAATTTATTATTTATAATTTAAAAAATAAAAATTATATTTTTAATTATTTAGTTTTCATTATTTTTATTTTTTAAATAATTTTTTTGTTTTATTTTTTAAATAACATTCAACTCTTTATTAACTTAAATGACACTCAACTATTCTTATTTCAATATTTAAATAAATAAAAAATATTTAAAATTAAAAAATAATAGAATTAAATTATTAAAAGTTAAATTTTTTATTTTTTAAATTATAAATAATAGTTTTTAAATAAATTAAATAATATTTTAATTTTTAATTAAATTAATAAAAATATAAAATTATATTTTCTTTATCTTTTTTAATAAAATTATTAAAAAAATGTTAATCAATAATTAATTACAAAAATAATTTTTATAATAAGAATAAAATCAAATATTATTTAAACAAACTTATAATAAAAAATGTTTTTATTTAAAAATTAATTGTCATGATTCTGCTGATCGCGAGGGCCATCAGGACTCGTGGACTGTTGACCCCGCCAACGAATCTTGAACTCATTGCTAGAGACGTCAGATGGGCACTACCTGTGATTTGGTCGACCAGAGTTTCTTTAGTTGCCAAATTCAAGTCCTTGGAGCAAGATTACCGAGGCCCTCGGAGCAAGATCACAGAAGCAGTCAGATCAGGTGGCTTAAAAATATAAATAGGATGAAATTAAATTATTTATTTTTATATTTAAATTTAATTTAAAATTACATAAAATTTATGTTTATTAAATTATATTTAAAATTAATAAATAATTTAAATTTAATTAAAAAATCTAATTTTATAAAAAATAATACTTTTTATACTTAAATCTTTCAATTCTATTTCATTAATCATTTTAATTTCTGAATTTTCTTATTTTTTTAATTTAATCTTTACAAATTTAAATTTATTAATATTATATATATAAATTATTAATTCAATTACAGATATTATTAAAATTTAATTTAAATTTTTAACAAATCTGATTATTTAAGTTTATATTCAATTCACTTATTTTAAATTATGAATATTTATAATCAAATTTAATTCATTAAATATTTTAATTAAATTATAATCCTAAAATTCGGATAAGTTCAAAATTATGCCTGAGATGGGTAGCAAAGGATGAAATTTCACAAAACTATGCCATAGGTGTCAGGGAAAATTTGATATGCTCCAAAATTTAAAATTTAAAACCCCAACGTTCTCATTTCTCTGTACCTCCCTTTAACTCGGTCACTCGGTCGTCAAACAAGCCCCATAGTATGCGCTGTCTGATACAAACATGGGGCAGCTACAAATTTTGATTTCCTAAAGTTGTAATCTAGACTAGGGCCTCGGGCCTCATTTCAATCTTCGGTATCCCAATATCCTCAGGTTAAACAAACCAAATCAAAGCTCCTGCTTCACCATCTCTCTAGGGGCTGTTTGATTTCGTTGGCTTTCGTAAAAGCCGAACCTTTACTGACAAATAACAATCCTAGAAGTAAAAGATTGTTTGGTAACTTTATAGCAGAGTGAAAATTGAGACGGCTAAAAGGACTGACTTTTATTGAGAATATGCATCAATATCTATTATTAGAATTTATTAGTTATAATTGTACAATTCCAACAACTATGAACCGTTATAAGTATGGCTGTTACATTTGTCAATTAAATTATTTAATTGTCAAATCAATAAGGACAGTTATTAGAAATTATCACTTATAAATTTCTTGTATTTCAAGAGTGCTAGTATCAATAAAATAGTAAGTTTTAGTTTTCAAGTTATATAGCATTTCTAAAATTCCTCTTCTATCTTCAACAATTAGTATCAGAGTTGTTTTGTTCTTGGAAACCTAGTAAGGTTGAGAGTTCCACCAAACATTCAAATAGATCAAAATGCAAACTGACAACTTGTCCTAACATTACCTATTTTTGAGGGTGAGAATTATTGTCAATGAGCAATCAGAATGGAGGCTTTTCTTGATGCAAGTGATCATTGGGAAACTATTGAGGAGGATTACGAGGTTGATCTATTACCAGAAAATCCAACGCTTGCTCAAATTAGGAATCATAAGGAAAGAAAGCAGTGGAAATCGAA